ATTTATCTGTGAGTGATTGGCGGGTGCTCTGGTGTGGTTTGTTCCTTCTTTTCCTATAAGAAACCTATCGTCTTTATCTCCCCTCCTTCTTTTTGTGTTTGTTACTCTCTTGTAACAATTTCTTCGGCACTTATATGACCTTAGTGTGTTGCAAGTGCGTAAAACTCTAACTAAAACTAAAACAAATTGTATTTTTATCTTTTTAATTTTGGCTGAGGAGAGGGGAAGTAGCCCGCTCGATGCTCTCACGTTCGTAAAGAGTGTTATCTCGATGTTGAAAACGAAAGAAAGCACACCTACAAAAGGAGAGGGGCTAGTAGGCCTACTATATGGGAATGCCTTAGTCTAGCAGCCGCGATTTATGGCGAATTTTGGTCCGCCAATCGCGGCCGCGATTTTTGCATTTTTCAACAAAAAAAATATCTATACCGCTCGGGAAAAAAATAACCGAAAAATAAATCTCGGGGGATAAAAATCGAGAAACTAAAAAAGAAAACATACAAAACCCCCCCAAAAATAAAGAAACCGAACCCCATAAACTGTACTTTTAGAAAGAAAAACTAGATTAGTTTACTGTCACTTCCGCTTCATTTCGTCTCTTTCTCACTTGTTGACACCACGTTGATTTGTTATTTTCAAGGAAATTTCTTGTGAAGAATGAGTACATTACATACTATTTATGTATTGCTTTTCCCCTTTAATTTGTCCCTTTTTATTGTATTTTAATTTTCCTTGTTGTTGTTCTGATAGTATGTTCTTTTTTCTGTTTTTGGTGTGTGCTTTTTGTTTTTTTGTTTTTAAGTGGTTTACGGCGCTCGCAACTGCATAAGGTCCTATGGGCGCGTGAGACAAGTTAAACTTTTCCAGTGGGTAGGAAATTCTGAATTTTGCCCGGATGGTGGCCGAAGCCTACTCTTAATGTACTAGCAGAACTTTAAGACTTAAAGGAAACAAAACACAGTTAATTTTGAAGGTAGAGCACCCAGTATAATACTAGAGGAGTCCTCTTTTATGAAATACTAGCTGGGGCCCCTTTCAATGAAAGGAATGATCGGTGC